TTTGTATATATATCATATAATTGTATATGTATACGAAAGGAGAGAACCACGAAAAAGAAAGAGAGAAGAAAACACACATAGCTAAAAAAAAATTACTAGCGATAATTAATTTAAACTATACCTACTTAACATTCCGCCATAATCTCAAAATTTGAGGCTTTTTAACCTTCTTAACTTAACATAAGATACATAAAATACATAAATAACACGCATCTTGACCAAAAATATAATTTTTAAGAATTTAGAGGGTCAGGTATGCAATTAAAGCTAATATACCCCACCAAAATAATTAAAAAATGAAAAAGAAATGATTTCGAGATTGCTATAAATACATACCTTGAGTGAAACTTAGGTTTGCCAAATCAAACAGCCAAACGCGGCACTAAGAAATACTCTCCAATCTTCTTCTTCTTCTCTCTCAACTGTAAAACAACAAAAAATGGCGGCTTCTGCACGGCGATCAACCGGACCGGTGCTCCGTTCATTATCTCCCGCCGGCAGATTTTACTCATCGTCATCTAGAACTTCGTCGTCTTCTGCTTCATCGATCCGGTTTACACTGGACCGTGAAACTTCCCCAAGCCGGTCTATTTCCGTAATGAACCGGCAGAAAACACTGGCTTCTTCTCAGAAGAAGAGGTGTATGTGTTCGCCGACGAATCATCCAGGTTCGTTCCGTTGTAGTATGCATAAGAAAATGGATATTCGACGGAGTAGTAGTACTAGCCAAACGGCGTCGAATTCGATTCGATTGCATATGAGGCGATCGGCGATGACGAATTCGTTAGTGCGAATCGGAACTGTTGAAGGTGAGCTTGTTAAAAGAGCTTTAGCGGCTTTGATTCGTCCTTCTTCGCATCAACAGCGTCGCCGTTCCGATTTCCAACGCCGACCTAGTCGACTTTCCGTTATTTCCAGTTCCGGTGACTCATAAGTCAGTTATTCTTTCTCTAGAAATTTCATTCAACAACGCGTGCTGCGCCGATTCTTAGCGCAGATCTGGCCGGATCTCCATTGTTTCCGGTGCCGGTGATACGTAGGACGTGAATAGAGCTGTTAGAAGTTTGCTTTTCTGTTGAATGCTGACCTCAGCAATCGATGTCTGGCCGTGAAGTAACGTCAGCTGCAACGAGGTGGCGGCGGCGAACTGGAGTGTACACGGTGGAGGTCGGAACGGAACAACTTTTTTGTGTACTCCGGTGACCAAAACGTTAGGATCCATATGTCTAATAGTCTAAAATACATGAAGAAAATTATAAAATCATTCAGTTCTCCTAATTATGAATGCGTCAGTCAGATTCTAATTATCCAATCATTTCGATAGACTTCTAATATCATAAAAATTTAACATATGAATCAAATTAAAAGCAATTTAATTTTGATTTATCGCACGATTCGATATATGTGAGAAACAAACAATAGTGTTAAATGAGTTAATTTTATTTCAAAATAATACTAAATAGGTTATAATAGTGAAATTTCACAAAAGTGAATTTAACATATTCAAGAAAATTTCATAAATAATATCAAAGTAAATAATAACAACAATAAGATAACGCTATGATAACAAAGAAAACAATTGATAATCTACTGTGATATTGCTAGTACAAAAAGATGTATATGGACTGACACTCTAACAACATATATATTTGTAGAAATTTTACTATTTAATATTTGTTAAAAATAATAATTTATAATCTATTATTATTAAAATTAGATCTCTTATATTTGAAATTTTAAGTGTAAGTTTTTTTAACACCGTTAAACCACTCCTGATAAGCTAATTTTTCGACCAATATTTCCCTATTCTCATCATATCTAATCTGTTGCAACTCTCTGTTAGAATGTCACCTCAAACAATATCAAATAGAGTGAATTAACAAAAAATATAATGAATTACTCATAGATTATAAAATTAGTTGACAATAAATTAAAATATGAATTATAATGAATATGGTTCAATGTCTCACTCTTTTAAGCTTTGAAATTCAATTATTCTTTTTTGTATTGTAATTTTTAAAAAATATTTTTTTAAAAAAATATGATGAATTATCAGATATTGTGATTGTATTTTTTTCGAATTGTTAAACCTTAATTTTGTATATCGATTTAAGTAATTTTTAAAAATTTTAGTTATTGTGATTTATAATATTTTTTACGTAATTTTCAAATAATGTATGTTACTCCATTATTTCTATTCATGTGAAATTGACACTGGTAATATTTGAAGAGTCAGCCAATTTTTGTAAAAAATATTTTAAGTTATTAATTATTGTCATTTATTAAAAAATTAACATAATTTTTTAAATGTATGACATATTAAAAGAATAGTAAGAAAACAAATTAAAATAAAAAGAATACTTAAATGGGTTTCACATGTTTCAAGAAAAAAATGATTTACTAAAATCATGCATGCAATTCAAGCGGACATGTTATTCAACAATCGTATTTTAATTTGTTATATATGATATAGACATAATTTAAATTAAAAGATTAAATAAACTCCTAACTTTTGAACAAACAAAACATATTAGATCGATAAGTAAGTTAATATTCTAAAGTTTATTTTTGGCAAAAATGATTAATCAAACATGTCATGTCTCATTTATTTTGTGAAATATGACCGCTTAGTCATTCAGACATATATTTTATCGTAACTATCTATAATAAAATTTCTTAAAGTCTTATTACGATCGTCAGAAAAGAAGCTTTAGATAAAGAAAGTTATTCCAATATAATCGCTTTATTTTTATTTTGAAAGATCCGAGAAAATAAAATATGATTATCCTTCCTTTGTTAGCTTTCAATTTTTGGCCTTATTAACTTCATCTTCTTATCGAAATAGTCTCTTAGTTTGAGTCCTGGGAGATGAGTTATAAATCTTATGATTAGTGTAATTATAATAAGGTTCTTTCCCTCCTTTTATTTTTGAAAAAAAATAAATTAGAGTTTAAAACAATAAAAGACATAAACTATTAGTTTAAAATTTTAAAAATTTATTTACGTTCCAAACTCAATATATACATATATGTTGTTTTTATATTTAAATTTGAGATATTTTAAATTCAATTCATTAAGTCAATTTACAGATCGAACGAAATATAAAAGAGAGTTTTGATTTTGTCACCTCTAATAGTCAAACACTGTGAAAAGCCTTGTTTATACTTAACTTAAATATATTTCCAACCAATTTGTATCAAAAGCAAAATACTATTAGCTAATTGATAAAGATGTTATTTTGTTTTCTTTAGGTATGAAATTCAACTCTCACCAATTTTTTTTTTCCTTTCTCTTACTATAAATCTTCCAAAAAACAATAAAAAGAAAATAAAAAACAACTTAAATAGGAAAAAAGAACCACTTGGTAGCTACTTTCAATGTATATATAGTTGGTATCCAACTAATAGATGGTTGGTTGGGAAAATTACATAAATTGACAAAAAAAATAGTGTGTGCATTTTTATTTTTTTTATAACATAATAATTGCATCTATATATGACCATGACATTGTCATCTTCTTAGCTTTTGTCACTTTAATTCTAGATAAGGTGATGAACATAAAGAGATATCCACTAAAAGAATACAAATAAATATATAGCTAATTTATATTACAAAGACTAGGTACCAAAGCACCAATATAAGTTACAATCAAATCATTTCGATTTTTTCTACTTTTAATGAGAAGTTTAGATCAATCGAATCCTAAAATATAATTCAAATAGAATCATCATCTTCAAAAATCACAAAATCAAATTACTTAAATTCTAATATAAATATCAAAAACCAATAAAAATTATCCAAAAAAAAAAAACTTACAAAAGCAAAAAGAAGTGACCCTACTTTGGACAAGCTACTTAGGGTGACAACTACACCCCACTTATGTCATTTTCCCTCTTTTATTCAAAAATTCATAACTCAAATCCTAATTCCGACATTAACTATATATACATATATAGTTCAAATAATACATTAATACATAAATAATATATGAATTCATATAAGGGCAGAGCTACATGAGTGCAAAGGGGCAAACCTTCCGTAATAAAAAAGTTACACGATATATATATGTAAGATTAAAATTATTTTCTTACTAAACATAAGCGATTAAACATTTTTGAGTACTTTAAATTATGTCAGTGAAAATTTAGATTCCGCAAACCGATATATATGTCATCATCCAACAATGACATACATTTATACTATATGTGTTGAGCAAGTTGAAAGGACCCACAAAAATTACAATGGAGAAGTTGACAAGCCATGTGATGATGAGGTAGATGCACACACAAACCACATAAGCAAGATGTGGATTTATTGAGGACTACTTGTTTACTTATGCAAAAGGGATAAGGATATAATCATTTTCTCAAACTTTATTATAAGGTCCCATCATACATGTAATTATTTTCTCTTTAATATGCTAATATACAAAGGTAGTAGTTTCACCTCGCTATGCTTACACCTCTCATCTAGTAAAGTTATTTTAAGAACTTCATTCGATCTGAAACTAAATTGTCATGCTATTACGATACGATGATTCGGTACCTTCTTCTGGGTGTTTCTTACCCATGCATCCAACTACCTTTGTGATTTTAACGATTTTACGTATGTTGTCCAAACGAGAAATTAATAATAGTAACACACAATTTATATTAACGATATATGTCTGATTTAACCGATAAAAAAATTATATTTATCTATGAAATATTTACTATAGGCGTAATACATAAACATGACATTTAACTAGGCTTTATCGAATAACTATTCCCTCCAACTTTATATGCGCAAATAAACACTTGAATTTGTATAAAGTCGAATGAATACGCATATATCCTACATTACATAATACATATAGGATGTCTGCTACGACACCAAATTTCCATGTAAGGTGCCATGTAGGACAGATATATCTATTTGTTCAATTTTATACAAGTTTAAGTCCTTACTTGTGCACATCCGAAGTTAAAGGACACAATTATCGATTGGCGTCAAGTTCACGATCATATTTATATGTTATGCTTTTACTATATATTACATGAGAACCCTAGGAGTCATTTGATGTACAGAACAAGGTCGGATAAATTAGTTCAAGAAATATAATCTCAAAAGTATATTTTTGAAATAACTTAATCCGCGAACGAAACGACCTCTTAAGTACCTTAATTAGGCCTATATCTCACAAGATTTAGGAGGACATTGTCTTGTAGTTTCTTAATCTCAAATGATGTCACATTGCAATATTCTAAATCCAATGTGTGTAAATTCTTCAAAGGCTTCAAATATTTCAACCCATCATTGGTGATACAAGAATTTGACACATTCAAATACACCAATAATTTCATTCCTGCATTATTTTATAAGAAAAAAAAGATAGGTGAAAACTAGGTCATGTATGAACAAAAGATATATACAGAGAAGAATCTAGAATTTTGAATCGAACAGGATAAAAATATAATTTTTTTGCATGCTAAAACTTCTTTTGTGCATATGTATACATGATTCGAGCTGAAAATAGCTGGCACGATTGGATTAGCTAGACACGCTTTTCAATCCACCTTTAGACTAAGATATCTAATAGGCGGATCTGAACTTGAACGCGTTTAATTGAGCTTAGGTTAAAAAATGGAATCCCTCCAAACATTACATGAGCTGAAATATATCGAGTTAAAATGGGCTAAACAATAAGTTAAAGTCTTGAATGTATGCAAATGTGTCTAAATTTCAAAACGCACACACATTCAACTCTACGAGTCTAAATTTTCGATTGAACATGTTCATGTTAACTTATCGAGTAAATAAACGTACCTGAAAGAAGCTCCAAGGTCTTATCGGTCAAGTTCCGGTTCTGTGATAGGTTCAAAAACATCAAGTAAGAAAGATCCTTTATATTTTCGACTCCAGTATCCGTTAACGTGCCACCACAAAGGTCAAGTGATTGCAGATTTCTGAAATCTGATGAGACAATCATACACATTTTAGAATTTGAATATGCACACACAAGTATACGAGGTCAACTAGCAACGATCAAGTGGTGAGACTTATATCTAGATCAAAAGTACTCGTCGATGAAATCAAAGGAAGCATAAAGCATCATACAACTAAGCCTGACCTGAATCAATTTATGATGAATTCTCGCAATACATGATAGTAAACCTTACGACCCCAGAAAGAACGAGAGTGTAAGATATGGTGTAAGAGGAGGACGGATACTAAAACGTTTAACATACATGTGAGGTACTTTGTCCCGGAATCAGTTATGTGAGCTCCAAAGAGATCCAGGTGAGTCAAACCAGTTAAACCTATACTCCATAGAGACAAAAGAATAACATGATTAAATTTCTAGCAGCAAACACCAGAAAAGAAATTATACGATACGATACAATAGAACATGATACTGAGGAATTGATACGCGATGAGCCATATCACAAAACAGAAAGTACATTTTGCATCCATCTTATACTAAGCATTCACATTTCGTCTCGTGTTTCTTATGGCTTACCTGTGAGAAATGCAAGCCCTGAGTCTGCAATTTGGCGAACGTCCAGATTGAGTGACTTGAGACCTGCTAATCCGGATAGCATTTTCAAACCATCGTCCGTCACTAAGGTGAATTTGAGGTTGAGATCTTCCAAGTTTTTCAAACCTAAAACAAAACGAATCACTCAAATCTGTTCATAGAACACGCAAAACAAGAACTCGGAGACAGATTTTAGTCCCCATCGGAATGCAGATGACACTCTTCTTTGATAATTGACATCTACGGTTGCGTGTAAAATCCTCTAAAAGTAGTACATTTTTTGAGTATCGGACATGATTGCTGCAACATTTTTGGGAAGTTCGAGCAACATAAATCAACATACTACAACTTTTATCCAACGTGGACGACTTGTTGACCTCAGAAATTATCTCAAAGATGTAAACAGAACTCAAGTGACTCAACTAAATTCCAGTAATACAAGATAAACCGAATAATCAAGATCTGATTCGAGTTATTCAGGACCGTAAACTCAGTGGTCCTCGATTAAGGCAACGTTATGTTAAGCGCAGGTTGATGTTCTATACCAGATAAATGAGCCAATCCGTCATCTGTAATCCTACATGAGTCGAAGTCCAAGCCTTCCAATTTTGTCAGACCTGCAATATCGATCCAATGAAATGAAATGCAACGTTGAATTAATTTAAGGTGGAGAAAATGAAATGCAACGCTCAATTAATGCAATCGAAGAGGATAGACAGACCTTTCAAATGGACCAAACATTCATCTGTAATGTGGTTAAATCCCAAATTCAATACCTTCAACTCGCTGAGTTCTGCACGGTAGACAATATTAGCTAAAGATGCAACAACATCTTGCTCGAATCAGTTCATAACGATCCAGTTACCCGAAAACTTTTCACATCCATCATCTCTCAGACAACATCTATTTAGATTCAACGATTGCAGTGAAGGAAGCTCTGTCAAATAAAAAGAAAAGTTCCCATAAGAGACGATACTATTAAAAAACATTACTGATGCCTTTATTATCCTGTGTTTCCTCGAACTACACGGACCCTCCAAAAATTGCACTACTTCTGGAGGATCAGACACGCAATCAGGTGTCATTTTAGAAGAATCTGAGCAACACAGCTTTTATCAACCATAGGATCGAAAAGGCGCTTACCATCTTAACTTACTAAAACTACGGTACTACTAGAAAAGTGCAAACCTGATATAGTATCCAAACATGACGTAGTAACATGAGATCCTTCGATATTTAGTACAAGAAGTTTGTTCAAACCTAAAAAGAAATCAAAAAGTAAATTTCAATAGAAGTATAAACGAGTCTACAAAGACGACAACAGAAATACTCATCAGTACCTCTCAGATAAGACACTCCATAATCTGTTATGTAGAGACACACGATCTCAAGATCCTTCAAACTCGCGATCCCTGAATTGCATCATGTGAAAACGAGCAAATGCTCACAATAAATCAAGCACAGCAAGATGACACGTGCGATGAGCTTAAAGCACATTCACCACCGATACCTGCCAAAGGCTGCATGTCTGAATCCATTATGCATTGACAACATCTTATGCTGAGAGATTCAAGTTTCGGTAAACCTGAAACAAAAATAGGACTATTTATCTTAAGGTGAAGCAAATTTTTGATAACGGAACAAAATTGAAAGCATACAATGTCAACGAAAGCCAATGTAAACTTCAAATCCTGGATCCGCCTATGGTTCCACTTCCTATAGCTACCTCGACAGTAAAATGTTTATAGATATAAGTAGATTTCTTAGTACATACATATAAAGGGTCTCGACAAAGGCTATTGCATTCACATGAACGGGTAAGCAGACATTCATATCTGCCCTGCCCCTCCGTATGCTTGATCATTGCCTAGGTCTCGATAGAACCGTGTAATACTAAAAGATAAATTATTGGCTAATAACCAACCTTGAAGATGAACAAATCCTCCATGAATTTGAGGACACCTCTCGAAATCCAACTTAACTAATTTATCTAAGCTGGATAAAGATTCCATTGCTTCAGCAGTAACCGAAACACATTTTGTAAAACTCAAATAAGTCAAATTCGAGAAACCTGAGGCACAAATACAATGATCGTCATCACCAAACAAAAGATCGAATCACAAATTAACTTTCCTAATCCGACTAGTAAAAGAGAAAGATAATGCAAACACCCCAAGAAAATAGTCAGTCACACGATCGATTTTATACTGTCTATATCATCCATCATACATACTCCAAAGAAATATGCTCAATAAAACAACACAATGATGCAAAGAATCTAAGTTGCTTGCACTCTCCAAAGATGCTGACCGGTGCGTAAGTGCACTTTTGGAAGATCCAACATGAATATGACTAACATCGCTGGATAATCCGAGCAACATAGCAAAGTAAACAGCAATAAACAGAGAGAAAAGAAAACATTTTCTCGTCTTCATATAGCACACTCTCTCTCTTAGGAAAACCGATTCACGAGAAACTTAACATACAGATTGACAAGTAAAACATGAAACTATTGCAAGAGAGAACAGTAATAACTACCACTGAGTTCCTTTATCCTCTGTTCAGAAATACGGTCACAGCAATCGAAGGATAACGCTTGGAGATTCGGGCATTTTTTCAACAGACAGAATCCGAAATCAGTAACCTTAGAACCAAAGATACATACAGACAGTAAAGATGATCCTTGTGAAGAAAACACATCCATCCAATTATGTTTAACACCTTTATATTCTCCTGTCCACATATCCTGTTAACAAAAAAAGAGTCCTATAAGATCATGTACTAAAAAAAATGACTTGGTTTTTCAAAATTCGATACGATATCAATGTGAGACGGGATTTACGTGGAGTGCACAATCTCTAAATGCTTCTATATTGTCATCTGAAAGGCGATTGGAATAGACCAGATTGTTGAATATCAACTGGCTTATGTCCCTTGGCAGCATTGAGAATGACTTGTATTTGTCAAGATCCTGTTAATAGAAGGGAGCATAAGATTTCCATATTGGTTGGACTCTTCAAAAATGTCGTTGGGCCGTGTCGGATCCTTCGAACATAGAGCATGTTTGGAGGATCCGATACTGGTGCGGTAACATTAAACTATACTAAACGAGTTCAACTGAATGCAATATTTTCGACAAATAACATGATTAGATATGTGTTTAAATGCATAATTCCAAAAGTACAATATGCTTACGAACATTAATCTTGTGTTACTCGGACTCTCCAAATATGTTGTTGCATCCGTGTTAGATTCTCCAAAACGCATTACTTTTGGAGGAACTGACACACACATACTGATATTTTTGAAGAGTCTGAGCAACATAGTGTTAAACATTGAACACATTAAGTTTATACTGTGAATTGAACTCTGCTTAATGGAACATATTAAGAGAAAAAATCAAATCAATCACCTTACGTATTCTATGAACGCATAATTCCATGAGGGACGGACAGTTGTTTCTTCCCAGAGGACAATCTACGCCACGCCCAAGAAGGAACGACTCTAAACAACTCGATCTCCCAACTTTAAACCGTCTACTTGAGAAACCTCTTCTAATGATGTTATCATCATCATGTGCATCTCTCTTTGATGAACAAACACTTCCCATTCGATTAGGAATACGCCAACAAAGCTTTAAGTCTTCGCCAAAACGAGAGCTAATAAACAACAGCACAACCGGACATTCAAGAAACAAGCACCCTTACACATGTTGTAGAAGAACTTGATCATAGGCACTTGAAGCCTGAAAGAGATCAATGATACATGTAGACCGTCAAATTTCTCGTATGAGTTTAAGTTCTACGTACTGATAATGCATAAACTTTTGCACTATCAAGTAAAATCAACATACAACAACATGTAATTCTACGTAACAACTCTGGAAATTCTTTAATTCTAAATTTTTTCACATGACATGTTTAAGATCGGACAACAAGATTAAAAGACATCTCGATACATTCTACACATCTTTAAACATTTAGTTTAAGACTGTAAGATTCAAAAATTGTTCTTTTACTTTCTTGGATTTCATTTTCAAGTCAAAACCAGACAAACAAACTGAAACCGAGGGAACGATTGATTCTTGCAGTTTTTCATTCCTCTGTCTTCATCTTGTTTGTACAAAAATCAAGAATCATAATTCTCACTTCCAATTTTTCCACTGAAACTAGTGAATCTTCATGTATAAACAAACAGCTGCATAATACTTCCAAATTCTCCGCTTAATCCATATCACGATACAGAAAACTTGTGATCTTAAACATGACATTTCTATGCTGCAACATGTCATTACTAAAGAGTAAAATCGAAAGTCTAAAGTCGGATTTTTTTCTTCAAAAACACATAAAGGGATCATCCTATTATACTATACAAACAAACATCTGCATGCTTAACCTCCAAAAAAATTTCACCTCATATCATGAAGCATAGAATTTATAAACTCGCAGTCTTAAACATGTTACATCCATTTTAATGCCACAACAATATGTCATTATTAAGAGTAAAATAGCAAGTTTTAAGTAAAGAAAATTTACCAACATAGAAATGTGTTATACAATTTGCTTAATAAAGCAAATACTAAATCCCCATAAAAATACAACAATGACAATACATATTTCAGCGCAAGTAATCTAGAAGATAGCGTGCATGCAGACATTACGTAATATATACATAAATTATTTTCTTTATCTATAATTTTTGTTTCTATCAAGAAAAGGTGTCATAATCAATTATTTCAATATCAAAAATCCAAAAACACACATAACAAAACATAAACCAAATATGTTTTCTTAATCAAAATATCACCAAATGAAAAATGAAAAAAAAAAAAACTTATAAAGAGAGAATACTCCAAAATAAGCCTTTAATTCTTATTATGATATATCTTTTCATTCATTCAATAATATAAGAGCACAAAATATTTCTTGTTTTTAATTTCCCTTATATTAGAGCAAATTAGAGATGCATAAAATCAAGAAAGCTTGTGGGTGTGTGCCACGTGTCCAAATATTTGTGTAGAAGAGTGGAATGAATACCTAGTACATTGGTTTTGTTTTTGTTTTTTCCCAAGTGTCATCATAGTGTAATATGTTGTGTCAGATTAATCATCAAAACACTTGCAAAATGATGTTTAGAGGATAAGGATATTATCTTTGAAGATACACTTCAAATTCCGTATTCAATGAAATTTCAAATACTTTTGAGTTTAGATATAAAAATTATAAAATAATTTGCTTTTTAATTTATTATCTTATTAAAAATTTAAATTCAGATCCTTTTAAACAAATACTTTCAATAAAAGATGAAAGACTATTACTATTCCATTGTAATGTTTAGTTGTAGGTGTAATTAGTAATTAAGAAAATAAAACGTTGTCAAATTGTTGTATTGTTTTCTTAAATATATATTACATATTATACATACAGAGTAACTATATAATTATACATATTTCATCATCATATATTAGTATTATTAAATATTTTTAAAAGGGAAAGGGTCTGATATACCCTTCAACTTTGTCATTTGGAGTTGATATACCCCTCGTTATAAAAGTGGCTCATATATGCTCTTACCGTTATACAAACGGCTTACATACATCTCTGCCGTTATACAAACGGCTCACATATATCCCTGCCGTTACAAAATGGTTCACATATACCCTTTATTTAACGGATTTTAAAAAATTAGTTTTAAATTTATATTTATTACTTCTAATTTTTTTTAAAAATTTATTTAGGGTTATATATGATTCTTTCAAGGTATATTTTAATTTTTTTCATACATAAATTATTTTTTGACTTCTTTTATTATAATTATTTGAATTTCTTATTCTTATTTTGTTTTTTCTTTCATTTTTATTTAAAGAATAAAAAATTAAACTTTTTTTTGTGTGTATTGTAATTTAATTTTGTATTCGAAGAAAAAATTTGATCATCTACAATAAGTTTTACAAGAATATTAGTGAAACATAAATAAATTTGATTATCAAAATAATAATTTTAAATTAGTCATTGAAACAAAAAAAAGTCAAAAAAATATGTTTGACGAGGATTAAATTTACTCATATGGGATTATATTTTTTAGAAAAAATAATAAAAATTTAGATTAAAATTATATTTTTTTAATTTCCGTTAGGGGAAAAGGGTATATGTAAGCCATTTGTTTACAAATAGGGTATATATGAACCACTTTCATAACAAGGGGTATATCAGCTCTAAATGACTAAGTTGAGGGGTATATCAGACCTTTTTCCCTTTTTAAAATATTATGTGTCTTATCATTAATTATAATTTTTTTTAATTATATATTAAAAAATAAATCTAGATACATGTATTTTTGCTTTCATATACTAGGAGAGAGGCGAGCACGATAGGAAAGGAGATATGTATACCTAAAAGGCTAAAATATGCATATCACACTAGATAAATATATCACAGATATATGCAAATACATTTAGATATAATGTATGGCAAAATTACATCTAATTTGATCTCTTTTATTTCGGGATACAAGTATTTAGACGTATCTAAAATATCTGAATACACCAAAAATTGATGATAAGATTTGTAAAATTACAAATCGGAGTGTATCTGAATAGTTAGCTCTCAAACTAACAAAATTCATGTATATTTTACCATGTGTTTGCCATAGAGTATGGAAGAAATACTTAATTTTTTTTATAAAAAAAATGTCCAAAAAAATGGACTAATTCGAGTAATTAGTGATTCTTGGGCCTACCTAACACAAATATCGCTGAAATAGAGGATTGATTGATCGAATAGTTCAGTAAGAATAAGACATTTTGAGTCAAACTTTCTGATCCGTTAGCAAGTAATTTTTTCCTTGAAGCAAAGTAGCTTTCAGCTTCTAATGAATTCTAAGGTTCCTTACTTCGGTTTGTAAAGCGGAAGATGAGGGAGAAGGGGCACAACCCCACGACTTTTTAAAAATTATTTAAAATATCCATAAGTTTATATTATCATTTTATAATGTAATTGTTCTGTGAAAATTGAAAAGGCACGACACAAAATATAAACAATTTAAATTTAAAAAAAAAAGTGAAAGAAAACAAGAAAGATAGCATTAATATAAATTATACAAGAGAGATAGCATTAATTGTATATGAAAAATTACTATTACTACTTATAATTGAAAGTACTGTCAGAGAGCAACCTCAAATAAAAATTATATAAAATATGTATATAACAATATAAAGTTTATACAACAAATTAAAATAAAATTTAATATAAAACTATGAATAATAAATGTTTTAATATAAAATATAATACTTTTTAAATTTGTAAAAATTCCCAAAATACTAAGAATTTGTCCCAAATTCTATTTTTTTTCCTTCTAGTTCTTAAATGGGCCGGGCCTAAATTTCTTTTACTTTTTTCTTAGTAAAAAATCTAAAAGCCTTTGTATTTTCGACATTAAATTCTATGCTTTCGAGGTCAGTACACATACTTTCTTTTGATGTACACTTTACCCCCAACAAAATGATTAATATCAAATTCACACCCCAAAACCCTAAACACTTTTAATTTTTCAAAACCCTAATTCCCCTTTTCTTTTTTTTTCAAAATATTTCTTCAATTTCCTTTAGGACAGTCAAACCCTACCCTGCCCTAAAAACCCCACACCCCCTTTCTACTTCTCTTTCCAGAAAGTTTTGATTTTGGGATTTTGGGTTTTCTTGAACTCTCTGTTTCTTTGCATTTTTTTGGGTTGTTTTGTTTTTTTTGGGAGTAAAAATGGAGGTGTGTAGTTTGAGGTCTGATGTAGCTGTTTTTGGAAGAATGGTGGTGGGGTCTGTTCTTGAAGCTGTAGTTGCTGAAATCCTTTTGGCTGCTCAGAGATCTGCTGCTTCTTTGCTCATTGTGGTATAACACACTTGTCTTTTAACTTACATTTGTATTATTTTCTTGAAAAAGTTGTGATTTTTAGTTGTGGGGTTTGGATTTCTTGCTCTGTTTTCTGCTTATGTAGTTGTTTGAACAGTTTTTGTGTCAATTTTCATCGATTCTTGCTTGTAGAGTAGTTAAAGTTGGGAAATTTACTGTGCTGCATTAGGTTTAGTGTTATTGGAAACAGCCTCTTCTCTGCCTTCTGAGGTAGGGTTAAGGTTTTGCGTACACACTATCCTCTCTAGGCCCGACTTGTGGGATTACACGGGGTATGTTGTTGTATGTTAGTGTTTGTTCCCCAAGCTGCTAACTTTAGGTATTATATGTTAATAAGGTGTGTACTTGTTGAGGGAATTACAGAGAAGATTATTTATATTGTTTTGCTCTCTTGCTCATTGTGGTATTTCATATTTTTCCAACTTACACTCTTAGTATTTTCTTGAAAAAGTTGTGATTTTTATGGTGGGTTTTGGACTTTGTGCTATGTTTTCAGCCTTCGTAGTTGTTTGAACAGTTCTGTTCTAGAATTTCGTTGCTTGGGGCAGTTGAACCTAGGAAATTTTCTGTGTTGCATTAGGTTTCTTGTTTTGAGTTTTACCTGTAAGTAATTGTTCTCCAAGCTTCTAACTTTAGGTATTGTATGTTTATTACTTGTGTTTTTAATGATGGATTATGGATTTGTTGATATGTTTGAACAAGCTATTCTGTAAAATTTCATTTTTTTCTTGCTAATGGGGTAGCTAAAGGTCGGAAATTTTCTGTGCTGCATTAGGTTTACTTTTTTAAAAGTTAGTAATTGTTCTCCAAGCTACTGACTTTTGGTATTGTTATGTTTACAAGTTATGTTCTTTTGAAGTGATTGTGGAGTAAAGAGCTCTGTTACTTCCTTTTCTTCTTTTGCTTCTTTGCTCATTGCGGTATAACAAAACCATCCAACTTCTGCTCTTTATTTTCTTGAAAGATGTGATAGTTAATGGTGGCTTTTGGATATATTGCTCTGTTTTCTGCTTCTGTAGTTGTTTGAACTGTCTTGTGTAAAATTTCCTCGCTTATGGGTAGTTAAAGCTCCAAAATTTAGTTAAAGCTCCAAAATTTTCTGTGGATGTGGAATAAATGTCCACTTCCTATGCTGTTCAGACTCTAAAAATGTCAATGGGTGCAAGTCCAATTCTCCAAAAGTAGTGTATTTTGGATAATCTGACGCTGGTGTAGCATCAAAAGTGAAAAGTCCTATTTTGGATATATGAAATATATGGGCATAATAACAACAACTAAAGAGGGAGGGAGACAAATGGTCGTGAGAGAAACGATAGTAACATATAATGGTATTTGATAAGTGTGTTTCCTTGAAAAAAGTGCGTAAAAGTTTCTTGTTTCCGCAGATATTACCTATTTTTGTGTCCTTTGGGGAAAAACTCAGTTGTCCATAAATTGCAGGACACTTAAAATTCAATGATCTAATTCTCGTTTTGCTTCCTTACAAGCATAATGAAATTGTTAGAGTATTACTTGATGCAAAAGCTGGTTGTGCTTATTTAGTTTAGTTGCCCAACTTTCCGCTGTGCCTTTGATCGAACTTTACAATTACGACCTAGAAGCTTCTTGTTCCTCAAGTTCTCTCGTAATAGTTCCCTTATCAAAGTTTGTTATGCTTCAGGCAGGAATTATGCTCAAGGATGCTGATTCATTGCCAGATCTGATAGGAACTGATAAAAGGTACTATTTGTCATCTTAGCTATAGTGCTATACTCACAGCACTCGGAACTGGAAAATTTCATGTGGCAAACACCAAATTTTGATGTCATTTTCAGGTTTCCATTTGAGGAGCTTCATAAAATGGACAAAGCTGGGCCTGAGAACAAAGATGGTAGCGACACAGAGGATGATGATGAAGATGACGATGGAGAAGCTGATGATCAGGATGACGATGATGCTGATGACGAAGACTTTTCAGGCGAAGGAGGAGAGGATGATGATGATGATGAAGCAGATCCCGAAGACAATCCAGCATCTAATGGCAATGAAGGCAGCGATGATGAAGACGACGACGACGACGATGATGATGAGGACGGGGATGATGAGGAGGAGGAGGAAGACGATGACGAAGAGGAGGAGGAGGATCAACCACCTGCCAAGAAGAAAAAATAAACCATTTCCTAGTATGTTTATTCTGTTTTTCTTCCATGCTTGTTGGAGTATGTAGTAGTTGTAGGAAGAAGGGGAATTTTAGCTCTTCTGTTGGAATTAATCATCCTTTTGCAGACAAAATGAACTTCTTGTCACCCTATTTGACTGTTAGTTATGATATATATTCCATTTAACCCTATAAATACTCTTCTAATATTCATGCCTCTTTACCTCCACTAGGTAAGGATAAGGTCTACGTACACTACCTTTCTCGAATTCTACTAGTGGGATTTCACTAGATATGTTGTACTCTTTTCGAATCCTACTAGTAGGATTTCACTGGATATTTCTTACTCTTTTCAAATCCTACCTATGGCCTGTGGAATTTCACTGGATATGTTGTACTATTCTCGAATCTTATTTGTGGGGTTTCACTGGGTTTGTTGTACTCTGTAACATTCGTCGTTCTTTCATAGTTTGACCATCTTCAATGGAGTTTGATGCTTGATAGTCTGCTTGACAAAAGCTTTTGGGAAGCCAAAAATGCTTGTTTTTCTATATATAAGTGCTTTTTTAGTAGTAAAATAAAAGTTATTTTTCATAAGTTGGCATAACATAAACTCCATTTTAATAACACAAACAAAAGTTTATTCCATCAATAGAACACCTAACAAAGAACTCCATTTTAGCATCATAACAAAGTTTAAAAAAAAAAACAAACAAGAACACCCCCCCCCCCCACAACCCCAACCCATTTATTCAACCAAATACTCTCATTTTCATCTTCAAATTGCAGCCAATGGAGATGGTGAAGGAGCAGAAATGCTACAATAAAACACCAATAAATCACCAAAACTTGGATCAAATGGGAAAAGTTTTTGCCAACATTTGCTATTAATCCCATGAATTACTTCACAACATGGAGAATCAAGCATTCCAATACCAAGAAATACTTTATAAATTCCATTTACACATTTATTTAAACTTTTAAGTGATGACCAACATTCAATAATTTCATCATCATTAGGACTTGGTGCCAAAATTGGATCAACACTAGCCATAGCTACTAGTGAGTTTGTCGTGCTTAATATAATGAAAAATGCAAAAAACTTCAAAATCTTTGTTGCCATGACTTTTCTCAATTTGATCTGATTTTTAGATATTGTTTTTTTGGATTTTGATGGATTTTTTTGTGGAAATATAAAGGTATTTATAGAGTGATTTTGGTGTAATAAAGAATACTTATTTTTTTTAATTATGAAATGCATTTTATGGCCTATTTATGCAAGAAATAAAAGTTAGTTAATGGCAAGAGTTTCATGACATTTAATTTCAAAAGTATTTATCTTACAACGACTTATTATAACAACGTGTTCTCTTGGATGAAATTTCGATGAATTAAATTTTTAAGAACGATAAAAGTGACCTTTAAATATCATTTTTCCCTCGAATAATGATTCTAAATTAGAAATATGAAAAGTTTAAATCGTTCTCTATAGGTTGAATATTTGTTAATTTGGATAATATCATAGACATATTTTTAATTCTTTTCATTTTTTGAAGATATAATATCGAATTAAGTGAATGGTCAAAGACTAAAATTAATTAGAAATAACATTAAAATTCATTCATTAACTAATTTAAAATAATCACCTACAGTTACCAAAAAAAAAAAAAGGTAACCCCTTCCTAAAAAAGCAATAAATAGAAATAACAACTTTTTTTTAAATATATATATATATATATATATATATATATATATATATATATATATATATATCACTAAATGCTAACATTGAACAAAACTAAAATTAAACTGATAAAACATTAATGTCACTATTTCTTATCAATTTTGCTCATAAACTATACATATAGATAGCAAAAAAATTAATCACTCACAATCCAAAGCATAAAAAAAACATCGAGTAAATTTTTTTCGATGACGAGCCCTAAAACCTTATATTCAACTATGTTAATTTCTTTATTATCCATATCAATTGTGAATGCTCAATTTTTTGATGGATTATTACCTAATTTTGGTGGATTGTTGCCTAATTTTGGAAGATTAGGTCCTGATTCAATTACAACATGTTTAACATCAGTTAATGATGTTCCTAATTGTGTTGATGAAATAATTACATCTTTTTTAAGTGTTCAACCCCATTTAATTGGTCCTCAATGTTGTGAAGCTGCATTAGATATTAGTGATGAATGTTGGCCAAATATTTTCCCATTTAATCCATTTTTTCCACAAGCTATTAGGAGTTTTTGTTCAAAATGAGGCTCAAATAATACCCCTCCATTAATCATGTAAGAGAATTCTTTTACGTCGTCTCGAATAATAGGAGAAAATAAGACATAACAGGTTAAAATACGTTGATTGTGTAAATGTTTATTATACTAGTGTGGATGAGTTAGATCCACGCGGAGTTAACCAAACATATGTGAACATACTACTGATAACGTAAAAATTCTTTTTCACGCATTGTATATGAACGTTAAACTCATAATTTTGTTTATGTATTATCAAATTAAAGCCGAACATGACAAGTTAAAAAAATATGCAATGAAATAAAAGCTTACAAAATTTTCAACTTCTCTAAAAGTATAAATATACTATATACTATCTATATAGGATACATTTTACTCTTTAAGAAAAGAATGTTGGATTTTTCTAAACTCTTCATAAACATTTCGCTATCATCACTAGTTCTCCACAAACCTACATATCCTAATCTATCGATGAACACGAAAAATTGCTCGAAATAAAGTAGGCAAAAGGAGTAAAAACATCACCAGATGGAAATTCGATGCAGTTGAGTTGGTTTTGTCTTAAAACATCTTGAAGAGCAGACCACCGTGGGTGGCGAAGAAAGGAGCGAAAACGAGTGACTCCACAGCCATCAGCTTGATAAGAATGTTCAATGATGGTCCAGATGTATCCTTGAGGGGGTCACCAACAGTGTCACCAATGACAGCAGCCTTGTGTGGATCGGATCCCTTGGGACCAAGAGTTTTCGCGTGTTCTGAAGTTCCAGCCTAATATCCCGAAAATGACACAAATAAACAAGCTATAAACGACGTTTCTCGAGATTCTTATAGGAACTGAATGTGAATGTATAAGGTCTAACTAATTGTATACCTCGATGTACTTCTTGGCGTTGTCCCAAGCACCACCGGTGTTTGATGCAGAAATGGCAATCTACAAATCAAAATCATATGGGATTAGAGAGAAAGAGAGACTGTTTGAAGGTTTTTATACATGTCATCAGAATAATTACCTGTACACCGGAGACCAGAGATCCTGCAAGTACACCGGACAGGGTTTCCACTCCGAATAATATTCCTACAATCAATGGAGTAAGCATGACAAGGGCACCAGGTGGGATCATTTCTTTGATTGATGCATCGGTGGAGATCTTGACGCAGTTGGCATAATCAGGCTTTGCGGTTCCTTCCATGAGTCCAGGGATGGTGTTGAATTGCCTGCGCACTTCCTCAACCATCTTAAGGGCAGCACTTCCCACACTCTTCATTGTCATGGCAGAGAACCAGTAAGGAAGCATTGCACCGACGAGCAAGCCAATGAATACTTTAGGTGTCAAGACATCTACAGTAGAAATTCCTGCACGACTCACAAATGCACCAAAGAGGGCTAGAGATACAAGAGCAGCAGATCCAATCGCGAATCCCTGTTACCATTACAGGAAGCTCGTTAATGAAGAGGCAATGGAGATTGGAATGGCCCTTCTATTCTAACTAGACCTAACAACATTCAGTGAAGTACAAGAGTATCTGACTTACCTTTCCAATAGCAGCAGTGGTGTTTCCTGCAGCATCTAGGGCATCGGTTCTTTCTCTTATTCTGTGGCTCATTCCAGCCATCTCGGCAATGCCTCCTGCGTTGTCACTGATGGGACCATAGGCGTCAATTGCCAAACCAGTAGCTATCGTGCTCAGCATTCCGAGAGCAGCAACTGCAATGCCGTACATTGCAGCAAAACTGAAGCTAACAAAAATGCTGATTGCTATGGCAAAAATTGGAATGATAACTGATTTGTAGCCCAAGGCAAGGCCAAAAATAATATTTGTAGCAGCACCAGTGCGGCAAGAATCAGCAACGTCTTGCACGGGGCTGGAAACAAATGAAACAAAACTTACATTTCTGATAGGCAAGAATGAAATAAGCACCAAAACAGAACAGCTAGAGACCCAAGTCTACCTGTAAGCATTGCTGGTATAGTACTCGGTAACAAATCCAATGATAAGTCCAGCCCACAGACCAACTCCAACGCATAAGAACAACTGCCTGCAAGTTCAAATTTGCATGCCAATTAGCCTTTGATAAATGTTAGTGTGAGACTGAAAGGAAGGACAGGCAGGAGAAATGAATCTTCATCCATTAATTTGTCTCAAATTTTAATGGAGTTGCTTTACCTAAATATTGACTTCAGGCATACAACTTTCAAAGACGATCCAAGAAATATGATGAAGCAACATTCACGTAATGCAAATATTTCAATTTATAGAAGCACGGGTCAGACTTTAGACTTACCAGCTCTGAACTTCTTTCTGTATTCCAAAATTGAATATTGTGAAGGTAGAGGGAAGAGCAGTCCAAGAAACAAGAGCAATTCCAATTGTCATGAGAACAGTTGAGATTACAAGTTGCTTCTTCAATGCTGGCTCAATTTCTTTTACAGCCTTGACTTCAAAGAAATCAGTTGCAAATAAGGTCGTAAGCAAACACACAAGGATACCCACAGAACTGATAAGAAGAGGATATAGCATGGCTGTGAACTCATGGTTGACCCCGAAAGAAGAGATAGAAGCAACAACTAGGGCAGCACACGATGACTCTGCATAAGATCCAAATAGATCTGACCCCATTCCAGCAATATCTCCAACATTGTCACCGACATTGTCAGCAATAACCTAAGCACATATTTAGCATTAAAACTAACCAGGAAAAAAACATAAACACACCTTGCCATTTAAATGACACAATAAGCTTACCGCTGGATTTCTAGGATCATCTTCAGGGATATTCCTCTCCACCTTGCCCACAAGATCAGCTCCAACATCTGCAGCTTTAGTGTATATACCTCCACCAACTCTACCAAAAAGGGCCATTGATGACCCACCAAGCCCATAACCAGTTATAGCCTCAAATAGCCCTTCCCAGTCATCACCATAGTATAACTTGAATACGTTGATTGCGATGTACAAAACAAGAAGACCATTTGCAGCAAGAAGGAAGCCCATCACAGCACCAGAACGGAATGCAACAATGAAAGCCTTACCAACACCCTTTCTAGCCTCCAATGTAGTCCGTGCATTTGCATATGTTGCAATTTTCATTCCAAGAAATCCGGAAATCACGGAGGTAATAGCACCAAGCAAGAAGGATATGGTGCTAAAGACAGCAGTTGCAAGAGCAGGCTTGCACATTTTGGAACTGTCATACGTACATTCCTGGCTCTTTGTGCTGAAACCCTCAACAGAACCGAGGAATAGAAAGATCAGTAATGCAAAAGCAACCATGAAAACACCAACATACTGGTATTCCGTAAACAGGAACGAGGTTGCACCTGTGGCATAGATTAATTCCGTAGTTAGAAAGTTATCATCAGGAAATATTAATGTGTTAAAATAATCATTATTTAACTAGTAAGCAACACACAAAGCAGGAAAAGCTTAGATCTTTAACAGTCAAATGCTAAAAACGCCAAGTAAATCAGAAGAAAGTATACCGACAAACCATGTAAAGTACAGAGAGAGTATACCAGAGCATCAAAGCTGCTGCCTTTACCCACACATACGTATACATATAAACAACAGAACAAGTTTATTCAATTTACTAGTACAAGTACTTGAAATTTTCAATAACATGAAAATGAAGTAGGCAACTAAAGAATTTAGAAACACCTATAATTAAGACTAAAGGCCTAAGTATAAAAAAAAAACGTATCAACCCCACACAACAGCAAACATTCAACTCCAGGAAAAGACCCTCCAAGATCTAATTGCAAACCATACAAATAAACAAGTGTATAGCCTTTTAACAGGGTACACATTCACCTACTGCTTTCAACTTGAAGCCTTGAACTCTATATACACAGAGACAATTAAGTGGATAGAGAACCATGAAGTGTCACGTCCAAATCCTAGCAGCACCAATAAACTCTGGGTGATTTCTTTCACTCGGCCCACCAGGGGTGGATCTTGTGGGTCAGTCTTTTAAATATACATATATTAAGACATCCACTAAGAAACCCAGTTATTATTTAAATATTAACTTGACAACATCATAGAACACATAAAATTCAAATACTGATCCACCAATCTGTGCTGGTATAGTAAAGGTACCTAAGCTGGACCAAGCACCACCGTCATACAAAGAAAATACACAGAGACATATATTCGAACATACACAATATACAATATACTTATGCACATATACACACACACCCTGTGTGTCCTAGTAATCAATAAAGTGGATTAAGAATTGGGCGTCTCAGGTTGAGCCAAAAATCCACTATATGATTTCTCATTTGTTCTAGCCTTGGTAAAGAGAGTTACATGTATATGTGAATTAGCCCAAGGTGCGCAAAAGGCAGCTCAAATACTGGTATCACGTGAATCTGCATACATGCAGAAAAGCTGACTCGAACATTGCGATTACAAAAAATTTATATACATGTGTATACTTATCAGTAGTAAATTATGCAAATGTAACAACTTGTTAAGCAATTTCAATGCAGCTAAAAAAAAAATTCAAAAATAATAACTAATTTCACGTACCTTCAGCAATGGCATTTTGAATTTCAGCACACTTACGAACAACGCTATGGTCATTAATCCCTTCTTCTTCTTCAATAAGCGATTCAGCATATCCATTCTTACCATCAGCGCCGGCACCGGGAGATGACGATTTACCATCAGTCGATACCGTAACTTTCGAAACAATCACCCATTGTACCAACGCAAATCCGATTCCGATAACTGCACACACCGGAATCAGAATCTCCGTTCCGAGATCTGGCAGAATTGTTGTTCCCATCACCGACAAATCTAGAGAGAGAGAAAGTGTGATTTAGAGAGAGAAAATAGTGAAAAAAGTGAGAGAGATGGAAGAAAAAAAAACGTGAATGGGAAAAATAAATAAATAAGAGAAGAAGATGAAGAGATAGCAGATTTGTTCGGTGGCTCTGTGGCTCAATCTTATTTTGGCCGGTAATTTTAACTAATTAAACTTTTTTATTTTATTTTTAAAAAAAATAAATAAAAATAACACGTTTACATATTATATTTTTTTAGTATAACTTAATCGAACTAAAATTATAACTAAAAAATTTTATTAACAAAGCAAGGGTTAGGTTTATAAGAGGATTCGAATGAACACTTTTGCTCCCTTTTAAAT